TAGCTGTGCTCAGATTTTGAGTTGGTCTCTCCGTTTTCTCACATTAAGGACGACAAAATGGCGTTTTCCGGGGTAAAGCCTAAATGTCGATCCTTGTTTCAGAGCGGCATCAGAGTTTCCACCCGCTGGGTGGGCTCCGCCTCACCATTGTCAATCTATCGGATAAGAAACAAATGTTCAATGTTAGGATAAGGAGGAAGGATATTGACACTCAGTGCATTGACTTGTCTCTCAAGTCGTGGGAGCGCATCTTTTTGTTCAAAAAATACATTGAATACTTGGCTAATCAAAAGAAAGATGCGATCCCTGTTATTATTAGGCTCATACAACAATTAAGTAAGGAAGCTGCCGAAAATTTTTTTGAGGAGGGTCATGGCTTTGCTTATCTTCACAAGAAGGAAAACGAAGTTCAAATTGTAAAATTTATGGAAGAGTGTTCAGATTTTAACGTTGAAGTTTTAAGCCAACTGGGTGATGTGGACTTCAAAAAAGTATGGTTTGAAATCATGTACTATTATTACGATTTTATCTTAAGTAAGATCAAGATTGAGTATAGAAATCTGGTATAAATTGTTTGTGTTTTGCTTTTGTAAATAAAAATTTATCTACCAATGTACTCCGTTGTTCTCAACTTTACCCAAAACTCCTCACGCCTCAATACATTTGATAAGGAAAAAGATTTCACAGTGAGTTAACGACACAAGATGATGCTTATTGCTCAATATAACACTCTTTGCCATCGACACTTCTTCGCTGCCGTCTTACATGGAGGAGCGACGGCGCCGCACCATGAAGGTGGCGTCGCAACGTCAGCGAGTGCTGCCGCGGCTATTTCATAAGTGAGGGGATGTTAAATCAGCACTCTGTTGCCAGAAATCCTCAACAAAATGGACTGGCAGAGAGGGCTAGCAGAACTCTTTTGGAAAAAGTAAGAGCAATGCTCAAATATTCAGGATTTGACGTTAAGTTCTGGCCCCTTGCTCTGAACACTGCTGTATATTTAAAGAACATTTCTCCCACCAGTGCAGTCAATAACATGGTTCCCTATGAAGCATGGACTGGTTCTAAACCTGACGTTAGCTTTCTGAGAGTGTTCGGGTGCCTTGCCCACGCTCAACTGGACTCAGCAAGAAACTAACTGATAGAACCAAGGACTACATTTTTGTAGGTTACGATGAGGAGCGTAAAGCATATAAATTAATGGATCCTAAAACAAATGCTGTTACCTCCCGCAAGGAACTGTACTGGGGGGTATCACTATGTGTCTGACTGACTATACTGTTGGAATGTGGCGCGGCTCCGCCGCCCGGCCCAAAGGGTGCTCCTGCATTCCTTCGCCTCACGGCGGGTGGCCTGCAGCTGCACCGTGCTGGCTCGGCGGGCCAACCCCTTCCACTCATGGAGTAGTGGGGATGCTCACTATAAATATGGCTGCATCCCCAAGGAGTCAGTTCAGTCGGACACCAGATACCGTCCCGTACGCTTCTGTGACTCCACGTCGTCATACCACTGCATCAACTACCAGTACTTGTGTGTGTGACCTCCGGCGTAACCATGGTATGTTGTACCATCCTTTGTGAATAAACCCTTGATTGCACTCTACCACGGACCCTATGCATTGCCCATCCTTTCTCCCAAATGAACCACAGTTCCCGAGATAGAACCTAGGCTCCAACACACTAAATAAGTGTTC